TTTTCTTTTTTATGTTTTTCATTAATTTGTCCTTTGTTGTTCTTTTTCATATACATGATCCTAGAATGCATTTTGACATATCATACATACATGGAGTATAATTTCCCATTCTTGTGGTTGTACATGATATGGAGATACACAGGTTGTGTATTCATATAAGAACATATGTAAGTTATGCCCAATTCATTCTACTGTCTTTCCCATTCCCCAAACCCGCTCCCTTCCCTTCATTCTCCTCTGCCCAATTCAGTGGTCCTCTACTCCTCCTTGTCCCCGCCTCTTCCCTATTATGAGTCAGCATCCACATATCAGAGAGAACATTTGACTACTGATTTTTCGGGATTGGCTTATTTTACTTAGCATGATAGTCTCCAGTTCTGTCCATTTACCAGCAACTGCCATACTTTCATTCTTTTCTATGGGTGAGTAATATTCCATTATGTATATATACTACTTTTTCTTTATCCATTCATTTTTTGGGCACCCAGGCTAGTTCCACTGGTTAGTTATTATGAATTGAGCTGCTATGAACATTGATGTGGCTGTGTGACTATAATAAGCTTATTTTAAGTCTTTTAGATATATGCCAACGAGTGGAGTAACATGGTCAAATGGTGGTACTATTCCAAGTTTTCCCAGGAACCTCCGTACTGCTTTAAAGAATGTTTGTACCAATTTGCAGTCCCACCAGCAATGTATGAGCATACAATTTTCCTCACATCTTCTCCAACAATTATTGTTACTTGTTTTTTTTTTTAATTTTTAATTTTTTTTAATTGTTACTTGGATTCTTGATAATTGCCATTCTGACTGGAGTTAAATGAAATCTCAGTATAGCTTTAATTTTCATTTTTACAATTGATAATATTGAACATTTTTCATAGATTTATTAACCATTTGTATTTCTTCTTTTGTGATGTGACTGTTTGATTGCTTTGGCCATTTATTGATTTTTTTTGAGCTAAGTTTTTTGAGTTCTATATATATCCTGGAGATTAATGCTCTATCTGAGGTGCAGGTGGCAAAGATTTTCACCCATTCTGTAGGCTCTCTGTTCACATTTCTTATTTATTCCTTTGCTGTGAAAAGCTTTTTTAGTTTGACACAATCCATTTTATTGATTATTTATTTTCCTTCTTGTGCTTTAAGAGTTTTATTGAGGAATTTTTTTCCTAAAATGACATTTTGGAGATTGGAGCCTACTTTTCTTTCTAGTGGGCATAGGGTCTCTGTACTAATGCCTAGTCCTTGATCCACTTTGAGGTGACTTTTGTGCAGGGTGAGATACAGGGATATAAGTTCATTCTACTACATATGGATTCCCAGTTTTCCCAGCACCATTTCTGAAGAGACTATCTTTTCTCCAATGTATGTTTATGGTGCCTTTGTCTCATATGAGACAACTGTGTTTATGTGGGTTTGTCTCTGTTTCTTCCGTTCTGTACTACTAGTGCATGTGTCTATTTTGGAGCCAATACCATGCTATTTTTGTTACTATAGCTCTGTAGTATAATTTAAGGTCTGGTATTGTGATGCCTCCTGCTTTACTTTTCCTGCTGAGTATTGCTTTGGCTATTCTGTGTATCATATTTTTTGAAATGAATTTCCTGATTGCTTTTTCTATTTTTATAAAGAATGTCATTAGGATTTTAAAGTGGACTGCATTAAATATGTAAAATGATTTTAGTAGTATGGCCATTTTGACAATATTAATTCTGCCCATCCAAGAGCATGGGAGATCGTCCCATCCTCTAAGGTCTTCTTCTATTTATTTATTTATTTTTTTTCAGTGTTTTGTAGTTTTCATTGTAGAGATTATTCACTTCTTTTGTTAAATCAATTCCCAAATATTTTTTTGAGTATATTGTGAATAGCATGGTTTCCCTAATTTCTTTTTCAGTGGATTCATCACTGATGTATAAAAGAACAGTTGATTTTTATATCCTGCTACCTTGTTGAGTCCATTTATTAGTTTGAGAATTTCTCCAGTGGAACTTTTTGGATCTTCTAAATATAGAATCATTTCATTAGTGAATAGAGATATTTGAGTTCTTCTTTTCCTATTTGTATCCTTTTAATTTCTGTCTTCTGTTTAATTGCTCTGGCTAGAGTTTCAAGTATGGTGTTGAATAGAAGTGGTGAAAGAGGGAATCTCTGTGCTTGTTCCAGTTTTAGAGGGAATACTTTCACTTTTTCTACATTTAGAATGATGTTGGCCTTTGGTTTAGCATATATAGCTTTTATATGATGAAGTGTGTTCTTATTATTCATAGTTTTTCTAGGGTTTTGAGCATGAAGGGGTGCTGAATTTTGGCAAATTCTTTTTCTGCATCTGTTGTAATGATCATTATGATTTTTGTCTTTAAGCCTATTAATGTGATGAAATATGTTTATTGATTTCTGTATGTTGAAACAACCTTGCATCCTTGGGAAAAACCCGACTTGATCATAGTGAACTATCTTTTTAATTTTTTATGTGATTTGTTGGTGTTCTATTAAGAATTTTTGCATCTATGTTTATTAGGGATATTGGTCTTAAATTTTGTTTCCTTGATGTGTCTTTGTCTGTATCAGGATGACACTCATTTCATAGAATGATTTTGAAAGAGTTCCCTCTTTTTCTACATCATAAAACAATTTGAGGAGTATAGGTGTCATACATTGATAAAGATGCTGCAAATCAGTGCAACCACTAGGGAAAGCAGCATAGAGATTCCTCCGAGAACTTGGAATGGAACCATCATTTGACCCAGTTATCCCACTCCTTGGCATATATATAGAGGACTTAAAATCAGCATACTACAGTGACACCATCACATCAATATTCACAATAGCTAAACTATGGAATCAACCTAGATAACCTTCAACAAATGAATGGCTAAACAAAATGTGGTATATATATTCAATAGGATACTACTCAGCCTTAAAGAAGAATAAAATTATGGGATGGCAGGTAAATGGACGGAACTGGACAATATTATGCTAAGCGAAATAAGCCAATCCCAAAGAACCAAAGGCCAATTGTTTTCTCTGGTATATGAATGATAATTCACAATAAGGTGGAGGGGGGGAAGAAGGAATAAAGGTACTTTTGATTAAGAGAGGGGACTGAAGGGAGAAAAGGGAATATGAGGGAAGGGAGGAGAGTAAAATGAATTGGACATTATTAACCTATGTGCCATATAATTACACTACTGGTATAATTCTATCTGTTGCACAATCAGAAGAATGAGAAGTTACACTTCATTTATGTATGATATGTCAAAATACATCCTACTGTAATGTATAACTAATCAGTTCTAATTAAAAAATTAAAAATAACATAAAAAATAAAATAAAATAAACAAATTGAAAGAAAACAAAAAAGTTCTCATGTGAGTAATGGTATAACAAAATGATGTGTCTTCAAGCTGATTCTGCTCAAGGAATTCCCTGATGTAGTCAATATTAATAACACTAGATGTAATAACAATAAACTATATATATGTTATTCCATAATGTATGAACCTGTGTTCTCTCTCTGTTAGATTGATATAAATACCTCATGTGTTTCCTTAAGGTATTAGAATTGTGATGACAACTATGCATGATTGGATTTAGTAGATAATGCCTTTCAATCTTACTATACTTTATCAAGTTGCTCCTCTTGATACAGATAATGGCAAACTGGAGTGAGGCATGAAATATCGAGCTCATGAATATATGATGCCCAAGTTTGTATGTCTAATTTCCACAATATAATTGTACTGATATGAATTAAGTATTATCTCTTCATTGTTATAGTAAATGCTATCAGTATATTTATTAAAAGATTTCATCTAGGAATTGTTATATTTTAGAATAAAATGTATTTCCACATATTGGAAAGTATTTGTTGTCTTTGACTAAATTATAATATAGTATAAAAATATTCCTTATAATATATTACTATCATCTGTAAAGTCACATATCAGTCTATATACACACACACACAAAAAGATGTAGATTAGTTTTATCAGTAGAGGTAAGTATTTACTACCAAAAACATACCAGTATATAAAATCCATAAAATTATTAAGCTGTCATCTATCCATAGACTATAATCAAAATTTATTCACCACACCTTTAACATTCTTTAAAGCAAAATGATATAGTTTAGAACCTTGTCTGACATGTATTTGTCAAGTCTCTACAAACATTTCTTCTGAGAATTCTCTAACCAGTCCTTATTTTTCATGTAAGGTATTCTGAAGGTTAGTTAGTCAGTAGTAGATGGTTCCTCAATTTGAATTTGTTACAAATATCCTCAAATTGAATTCTAATTATGTTCTTTGGGAGCAGCAACACAGAAAATATTGAAAGGTGTTTTTTCCATTTGAGCTATGAAAAACTACATTTGAAAACGGTATTTCCAAATTTCTAATCAGTCTCGTCAAGCCTAATAAATTCTATAAATACATACTTCAATAAGATCATAGCCTAATTACCAGTTAAAATTAATTTTTATTCTTTGTTTTATTATTTCTATATATTTAAGAATTAGAAGCAGAACAGGCATATTTATGCACATTAACTATAATGTTTTAAACAAAAGTTATGTAACTTTATATTTTCTGTTAAAAATTATTTCATTTTTTATTTTAATGACCAAAAGTTAAAAATATATAAATAATATTTTATTTTCTTCCATTTTTTAATTTTTAAATTACTTTGACTAGATTTTTACTTTATTTGAAGTATAATATGATTTCATAAAGCATATGTTGTATAATTCACAAATATTTAATTTATACATTTGGGCAAATTAGATTCAAAATTAAAAATAACTTTGATCAGTAAATATTGTTCAAGTCCTCACTGTGCACCACTGGTTCAGACTTTCAGGCAACAGCCTATGATTTATGAAAATGTTAAATATTTGTTGACATGTAGAATTAAATGATGCCATTTTATCAGTTTAAAATTTCATTTCTTAGAGATACATTTTGTGAAATCTCAAAAAATTATTACGCCAGACTTACCAGCTAACGCTAGAATATATTCTTGAAATCTTGTTCCTATACGGTTAGTGGCTGTGCAGTTATATCTCCCAAAGTCATTGTCTGATGTAGGTGCAATCTAAAATAATAAATTGTAAAAGATACAATACTGAAACATCAAAGAAGTTAAAAGAGACTTTAGTATGCTTACCCCTTGCACATAAGTTCAATCATTCACTTCCTTGCACTTTTCTTAATCAAGTATTAATACATATTATTAATTCTTTTAAATGTAATCTGTAAAACTGCATTATCCATAGGACTAGGTAAATCATGGTTTACCTAATAATTCATTAACTGGATAAATGTTTTGGTACATCTATCAATAGCAAAATCATTAAACTTCCCTATAGGTAAAACATAAAAAAAATGACCAAAATAAAGGTTGCAACCAGTATGGGTGTGAACGTGAAAATAGGAAGTTGCACCAAAAGCAGTGTTAACTTTGCTTTCTGTTTTAACCTCAGACCAGGCTAATTTAAAGTCCAAAAAAGGCTAAAAATATCTAAGTTTTTTTCTCGTTTCTTGAGTCTATGAACAAAAATACTGACATTAGATGAGGAATCATTCTCAAAAAGTCTTTCCAGGAAAGTATTTTGCAAAAAAAAAAAAAAAAATATATATATATATATATATATATATATATATATATATTATTCTTGTGCAAATATCTGTAGACAGGCATTTTTTCTTCATATTTAATAACAGTATCTTGCTTCCTTGTCCATTCAATTCCTATCATTCTCTTTTAGTTTAGGTGGAAAATAGCTGACCTCGATCTTTACACATTTGAAATCCATAATTAAGTTAACCTTTGGGGGTTCTACTGGTGAAGAGTGGGACCAACCCTGTAATTCTAATGTACAGAAATCCTGAAGTATCAATTCAGGAAAGAGATTTGATGATGATAATAGATATAATTTTCAATTTCAGTAACTATTTTTAAGATAGAATATGCTTACAATAAGAGAGGCTGTTAATTTCAACTTTATCCCAAAAGAGAGAAAAATGATTTTGTGGTAATGGGAGGCTATTAACTAAGAGAGCAATTTTGAGGTCCATTGAAGATGATGATTCGGAGCAAGTACAAAAAAGCTGTGTCATTCATTTTCTAGTCAGCTGTCTATATAGGAACAAATCAGGCTAAAGGCCCAGAAGTTTTAACAGCTCTTACTTAAGTACTTCTAAGTGATTCAAATATGGATTTTTCTTATATCTAGCATTTAATAAAACAGGCTAATTTAACTCTAAAGTAATTCTACGGTCTTTCATATTCTCCAGTCATATGAAAAAGATTTGGATATTCCATAAAGCAGAATGTTATTTATTGAATCAATACAATGCAGAGGCAGGGTGGCCACAACAAAGAATTGTGCCACCTGCATAGCTCCTTAAGATTAATAATTTAAATATAGACTTTTACATTGAAACCATTCTTAAAAAGACTCAGTCCACTTTTTTTTTTTTTCCCCCTCCAGAGAGTTCAATTGCCAACAGGCAAAAAGCTTTACAAGTACCTTAAATAAGTAATTCCTTTATCATATTGTACTGTTAACAAATATAGAAAATACCCATCATAGCAAAGCATAGCTCTAGATTTAACCTGGAACATATTTGATGTATTCTAAGGAATGTAATATGAAACTGAAGTCCAGTGTTTTGATATGCAAACTTAGCATTCTAAAATATTAAAAAAATATCAAAATATAATCCACATATCTGTGTTTATTATAAAGCACTAAGTAAAAAATATTCACATATTTAAAATGTGCAAAGTCCTGATAATATTTATTAAGAAAGTACTGAGAATATGTACTCATAAAACTTTTTAAATTTTTTTAAAAATATATAGTTCAAATACAATTAATTAATACAATTATTTTTTTAAAATATACAGTTCAAATACAATTAATTTATTAGTATTTGACCTAATACAGTTAAAAATTACTCTTGAATATCAAAATAAAAGTTGATAACTCAATATTAATATAGGGAGTTGGCTTATTTTTCCTAAGTCTGTACAAACGGATTTATTCTTTCTATGTATTGTATGGTGATAAAATCTTATATAAAATAGTCAGAATCTTCTACTGAGGACATGATGCAGATGATCTAAAACTGAATATTATTCCAAACAACTTATTAGAATTTCCTGCTATCGATTTTGGCCGAAAATCTGTTGAGCACCTCGGGATATGTTTGCATAAAAAGAAAAATACTTAAAAAATGTATAACCTTTACAGGTGTATTTTTTGGCAATAACCCAAATGATTCATATGGTCATATGTAAAAATTCACCCATTTAAAAGGTTAAGTGTATGCAACTTTAGAAGAAAAAGAAAAGTTAAAAAATCAAGAGGTCTATTATTGACCAATTATTATTAAGTTTAAAATTGATTTATTTTTCTATATTTTATTATATATTTTTTAAAATCAGCACTTACATGGCTACTGTAATCATTATAAAGTAAAGATGATGAAAGGTATTATCCCAAGCAACTATGTATGCTAACAACTAAAAATTAATGATGTATTTTGTTCCTCTTTCTTTTGGGTTATTGTTATATTTTGCTTTCAAATTGTGAAAGTTCCACATCTGTATTTTTTTATTCAATATTTACATTTAATTTGTGTACACAGTATACGCATAAATCAATGTTTGTTCAAAGCCAGTGCTTTAACTGAAAACTCCCTGGCTGAATATAAAAAAAAAAAAAATTACATTTTTTTTTTCACTTTGTGCTGGGGAGAAAAACCATTTAGACAGAATTTTAAATAGTATGACATCTTTACATAAATAAAATAATTAAATGTTGTATTTATAAAATGTTTCTTGACTTTAACAATGGAAATTTATGAGGTGCCTCCAGAAACTCAGTGTGTCAAAATGACTAAAGCAGAAATTAACAACAGCCTGTCATTAAGAATGAACTTAAATCTATCTGCTGTGGACTTGAAAGAGTTAAAGAGGTACTATCACAAAATATGCAAAATTGGTATATTGATTATTTCAAGCTGAAATCACTTGAGGAACTGGAACTTCAGGAAGAGCTATATACCTGTATTTTTGCACATGCAGGAAGTCAAAAAGATTTTTTGAGGAGAGATGACCTTCAATATCAAAAATGGAAAATAGCCTTAATCACTAGAGACTGGGAAATGAACCTGAATATATAAACTATTTAAATTATTTTTTATCTTTCAATAGCTTTTATTTCTCCATATATCTTCAGTTATATTGATAGAATTAATTACCTAGTCCACTGTCGTGCTGCCTTCACAAAATTATTATTATTATTATTATTATTATTATTATTATTATTATTATTATTATTTTGCAAGCAGAGAGAAGGAGTGGAGAGAGTGCAGTGAAGTGGTGAAGAAAAAGTGCAGAAGTAAAGTCTATTGTTCTTTCTCTAAATTTATAAAAGTAGTGCCATGCTTCAGAAGTTTGTGAAGATCCACATACACATGTAAAATTAATAAAACTTTTACATTTATCTCTTGCTAATCTACTCATGTATGGGTTGGGTTCTGAGAGTCTTCCAAAGAGCCCACATAAGAACTAAAGGATTCAAGTAAAGGGGATCTCTCTCTCCCCTACAGAGTGCATGTGCTCCCCTCAACTTCATGTCTACTGAATCCCTAATTCCCAGTGTGACTATATTTCGATATAGAGACTATACGGAGGTAATTTAGGTTAATATGGTCATAAGGTTGGGGCTTAATCTAATAGGACAGGTATTCTGATGAGAGGAATAGGCAACAGAAAGATCTCTATTTCTCTGTTCCTGTCTGTCTTCCTTCCTCTTTCTGTGTGTATATGAGGAAGAAAGACAAAGTGTCCATGGCAGGAAAATAGCCAGCTACAGGTTAAAGAGTGAGTCCTCTCCAGAATCAATTTCTGCCGGCACATTGATCTTGGACTTCCAGCTTCCAGATACAAGAAAATGCATTTCTGTTGCTTTGTCATCTAGTCTGTGATATTATATTGTGACAGAGGAGAAAACAAATCTACTACCCCAAACTGAAGTTAATTTAACCTGTTTAGAATTAAAAAAAAAAAACCTGTTCAAAAGTCTTTGTGAAATTGCTATCCACATCAATTCACCAAAAGCTAGTTCTTCTAATACAATTTTAAAGAAACTGATCTAAATTGAATTAGCTTATACAAATAGATTTAATATCAGTTTACTTTTCCAAATATAAGAAGATGTGATGGTCAAATCATTCTAGCAACCAAACATTTTATTAAATCTAGCTACCAGGTAGAAGAGATACTGTGGTACCAATAAGAACACCATAAGTTACAACAGTATGAATATCAGGTATTAAAATGTACATTAAAAAGGTGCATTGCTTTTAATTTATGTAAACTGAATTAGTGTAAAATGTATCAGTTTTCATCTGAACAAGTTTGTAACAAGATCACCAATTTTTCCAGCAGCATCACAAATTAGAAAGGATGATAATCATTGTCATAGACTTGTAGAAGCATTGGGCATTAATACATACACACACAAATCTGCAATTACTAAATAAAAAGAATATGATTCAAACAGTTCTTAAAATCCAGTCACCTGCCATTATAAAAGAGTTCTCTCAAATCAGAAATATTAAATAAAATAAAATAAGTAAACTTGGATTATTCAGGAACCTATATCAGAATTATAAATGTACAGCTATCAGATAAAACATATACTAGTCAGAAAAGATCACAATTACTGAATAAGTGAAAAGAATAAGTGAAAGCATAAAAACTAAGGCTGAACTCCTGCCCTTGAAAATTGTCAAATTATTAATTTTTTCTGATATTTTTCCTAATAATGTTTTTCTCTCCAAAAATAAATCCATGAAAAATAGGTATTTGCAATATAAACATATTTATATACAAGTAAATGTTAAAATAGTCATAATAAACACATCATTATCCAAATATATAAAATTTACCTTTAATAAATAAAAATGTGAAATATACAAATGATGATGTCATTATATATGTAAATATATTTAAAATAATAGATACATGCTAAAATAACATAGGTTACTGATGTTCACATTAAGACTTACCTCTAAGATCATCTTTCTTCCTGCACTATACGTCTTTAAATTAGTGGTATTTCTAGCTGGTAAGACTAACTTCTCTTTCCGCCAATGGATTGATGCTGGTGGATTTGAGTTCACATCACAACTTATATTGATTGGATTTCCTTCCCAAGAGTAATAAATTGTTTGGTTTGATATAAACTTAGGAGCATCTGTAAAATAAAACATATATAGATTTGTTTCCTTTAAGATAATTTCTAAATTAGTATAAATATTAGCAAATTTTATTTGATTACAAAACAGCCATAACTCTAATTTTATATACTCAATACATGACATTGGAACTCATGAAAACATATAATATTTGAATATTTCACCACACAATTTTCATATTATGAATGTGACCAATATCTTGGCCAATTATTAAAACATTAAACAATAGAGTTGAATTCCCTCTTACCAATTTAATAAGAATATTTATTAATGAAATTAATAACTACCTACATAGAAAGTGTTTCTGGAGCAATGCATACTATAAAGAGCAAGTTTAGGATAAATTTAATAAAACCAATGGTTACTGAGTCATTATTTAATCATATCTTCTTCATAACAATCTTTTTATAAAACATTGTGAATTAGGTATGAAATCCTTTGACTACAATACAAGTGAACTTATGAATGAAGACACGAATTGGTGTGAATATACTATGTATACAACCAGAGATATGAAAAATCGTGCTCTATATATGTAATAAGAATTGTAATACATTCCACTGTTATATATAAATTTAAAAAGTAAAAAAAAAAGTGAACAAATATTATTTTTTTAAAGTATCATATATTTAATTTTTATTGAAATGAATATTCTAAATAAATTCATTATAATTAATTAAAATTAACCAGTCCCTATAATTTCCCATATTTTCTATGACAGAAGTTAAGGGAAAACAGACACTATATGGGAGTATTTTAGAAATGCTCTCAAAATATTCCCAAGTGCTATACTGACGTCACATGAGGAACTTACTGCAGGAAGGATCATCCTACTTGTCTATCTCTACAAGAAGCAAGTCACCAAGATTTTTTCAGGGGAGATATCCTCTGCACACCAAAGTTGGAAAATATTCTAAATTACCACAGTGTAGTGATTGTGGCTGCAATTAACTTAAATAATAAAACTGTGAAGGACCCTATATTCTATTAGTTTCCAATCTGGAACTTTCCAGGCTAGATCAGATAGCCATTCATTCTGTCATTCCTTCACAAATTTATTGTATTTTGACTATTATATATAAAACATCATGCTTTAAAACTTCATTATTTAAAATTTGTTTTTTTTTTATGAAGAACCCTATGTACATGTAAATTAACAAAACTTTTATGTTTCTATCATGTTAATCAGCTATTCTATAAATTGAGTTCCTAGATTAATGAAAGAGCCCACAAAAGATTTAAGAAAGATAGAGGGTCTCTCTCTCTTTTCTTTCTCTCTCTCTCTCTTCCACTATAATTTTACATCATTTTATTGCAAGATCCTAATTTTGAAGATACACAAATAGAGTAACCTCTTTTATTCTTAATTTACTGACTGTATAGTTATCTGAGAGGAATAATTATTTATTTCAAAATAAAAACATATTTCCAATTTAGATTGTAGTTTAAATTGTATGTAAATACTTATTACTGTTAGCAATACTCTTAGAACTTAACAATCCATCATAAATTATCAATTTTCATTGTCCTAACTTTGAGCATTTTGTTTACTGCCCATCTATATTCTGTTTTGTTAAATTTGCTTATTATATTTCAGATGTGTAATATAAGAATTATAACCTATAGTACAAATCCACTTTCAGAATCCATCACATTCCTTTTTAAAATTTAGATTAATTTATATTAAAATTTATGAGTAAAAACATAAAATATCATGTATGAATGAGTACTATATGATGCTTTAATAAATGTAAATATTCTATGATGTTTAAATCATGTCATTCATATATATATATATATATATATATATATATATATATATATATATATATATAATATATATTATTCCTTTATGGTGGAACAGTCAAACTTTTTCTTCCAGCTTTCTGAAATATACACTACCTTAATTGTTACCAATAATCATCCTAGTGTGTAATGACACACTGGAATTTCTTAATCCTACTTAATTGTAACTCAGTTACCAAATGATCAAGCTTTTCAAGTTACTTCCTCTACCCACCCTCTCTAATTTCTTGTAACCACCATTCTACTCTCAACTTTCACGATAGAAACTGTTTCAGATTCCTCATATGAGTGATATTATGTTTTACTTTTCTGTTCCTAGACCATTTCACTTAACAAACTGACCATCAGTTTATCCCTGTTTTAGAAAATGAGATTTCATCCATAATTAGGCCTAAGACTATTCACTGTGTATATTTACCATATTATCTTTATCTTCTTATCAGTTAATATACAGCTTGGTTTTTCCAATTTCCTCTCTGTTGTGAATAATGCTACAATGAACATGAGAATATAAATGTTTATTTACTGATTTGATTTTCATTAGGTAGTAGGACTGCTGGATCATATGGTAGTTATTAAAAAAAAATTGTAGACTATCCTTACTATTTTCCACAATGGATATGCTAATTTACATTCCCACCAAAAATTTGTGTAAAGATTACTATTTCTCCATATTCTCAATACCACTTTTGTAAGTTTTAAAACAACCATTCTTATTGAAATGAGGTGATATCTTAGTCTGGTTTTGATATGAATTTCCCTGATGATTAGTGATGGGCAGAAAGTTTTCCATGCTGTGCAGAAACTTTTTAGTTTGATGTAATCCCATTTGTCTGCTTTTGCTATGGTTTAGAATCTTGTACCAAAAACCTCAATGTTCCCATTTCAATGTCCTGAAGCATTTTTTCTATATTTTTTCTAGTAATTTCATAGTTTTGGATCTTACATATTGGTCTTTTGTTAATTTAGATTTGACTTTTATAAAAAATAATTGAGAGAGATTTAGTTTCATTATTTGGCATACGTATATCAACGTTTCCCAATATGCTAAATTCAAAACACTGTATTCTCTAATGAGTATTCTTAGTACCTTTATAGAAAGCAGTTGGCTGTCATGTGTGCGTGGATTTCTAGGCTCCTTTTCTGTGACATTTATCTATGTCTGGTTTTACACAATGCCATGTTGTTCTGATTACTGCAGTAATGTAATATACTTTGAAGTAAGGTAATATACTGTCCGTCATTTTCTTCTTTTTTCTTAAAATTGTTTTGGTTCACACACACGCACACACACATTTAAACGTGTGTGTGTGTTTCTATAAATTTTTTTTAAAAACTCTGTGAATAATGATATTTTTATTTTAATGGGTATTTTCCTGAACCTGTAAATAATTTAGGGTACTATAAATGTTTTTAACACCATTGATTCTTCAAACCATGATCATGAAATGTTTTCCATATATTTATGTCTTTTGTGGTTTAATTCTTCATTGTAAATATTTCACTTTTTAGTTAAATTAATTTCTAGGTAGTTTTATAGCTATCACAACAGACTGCTTTTTCAAATTTAAAACCAGATATTAATTGTTAGTACATAGCAGCACTACTGAATTTTGTATGCAGATTTGCATTATAAAATTTTTATATATTTATCTATTAATTCATAAGCTTTTTGGTAAAGTCTCTGGTGTTTCCTATCATTTAAACATAAATAAAAAGATCATCTTAAAGATTCATGATAACCACGAAGCAAAAATCTGTGATAGTCAAATAACAAAATAGTGAACAAGGAAACAAAACACTCTATTAGAATAAATCACTTAACCACAAGAAGATTGCCAAGGAAGGACAAAGAAAAAGAATACAATAGAATAATAAAATAGGTTTCAAAATGCTTACAGTAAGTTCTTAAATATTGATATATTACATTCAAAATAAATTGGTTAAATTATCTACTTAAAATGACTAAGTTGATTTTAAAAATAGTGTCAACTGTATGTTTCTTGTCAACAAGAAACCCATTTCATTTCTTTTTTTTTAAATCTTTATTTTATTCATTTATTTTTATGTGGTGCTGAGGATTGAACCCAGTGCCTCATACGTGCTAGGTGAGTGCTATACCACTGAGCTACAACCCCAGCCCAAACCCATTTCATTTCTAAGGATAGAATCTGAAAATGAAAGGATGGAATAAGGTAATCCATGATAATGGAATGAAAATGAAAAAAAAAAAAAAAAAAAAAAAAAACTAGAAGCTATACCTTGATAAAACAGACTGTAAATCAAAAGCAGTAAAAAAAGAGAGGGAGGGTCATTATATAATGATAAAGGGCCAACTTAGATAGAAGAGATAACAATTCTAAATATGTATGTATCCAATATAAGAACACAAAATCTATACAGCAAGTAATAGACATGATGGGACAGATAAACTCTAGTATAATAATGGGTGATTTAACATCTAATTTTAGCAATGGACAGAACAGCCAAACAGAAAATCATAAACAGTAGACTCCCACACTCCCAGAAATTCTCAAGCACCAAGCACACAGAGCAGCAAAAGGACAGACAGGCCCCAGTATAGCTCAGCCCTCACCTCCAGGGATATATATCGACTCCTCCATCAATCAACTGGTATGATGGAGTGCACTGAACTGTTTAGGCTACTTCTTTCTTAGCCTGGCCACAGATCTACTTCTGGATCCATTTTTTTGGGGAATGGAATATAGCAGTTGAAAGGAAGCCACACTATCAAGGCAGCTTCAAAAGATTAAATCAAAATAGAAATTCAATACTAATAAATTGAGTCTACAAAGCTGAGATGAACAAAGGACATTTTCACTTGAAATAGGTGATCTGAGTCCTGAGAATAATTGCTGGCTAACACTGTGGAGGTGGTACACTGAGACAAGTTAAATTTTTATCAAATCTGGTGTACCCTTAGTCATTTCTTCCAAGCCTAGAAAGGACAGAAGAATAGGCTAATGCATTCCACTCTCCAAACCGTGGCACATGATCTGTGACTCTGGAAAAAGAGAGAGCATCATGGATGTCCAACCAAGAATGGAATGAAACCCTGCAGTGAAAGTATGCTTATAGACTTCCTAAAAGTTTGACCACTTTGGTTTAGAGCTAAGGATAAATGAACTGCACAATAACTGAAAACTCTCCCCAGAAAATAAACAAACAAACA